ACATTTACTTAAAATTAGATGCTCTCTCCTTACTCTACTAAGGACGGGGGAAAACAAACAAAAAACCAAACCCTGTTAAAAACACATCTTTATCCAGTTTAAGAGAAAGACCAACCCGAAGATGCTGGAGTTGGATGACAGAGGGTGCCTACAAAGGGCTGAGAATTATTTTTGCTCAAGATTATAACCAAATTCAGGGTTGTCCTGAGCTCAGTCCTCTCTTTCCCAGTCTCATCCCATCTCCAGGGTATGACCCACAGGCTGAGAAACGTGGGTAGCAGAGGAGGTAAGGGGAGGCTGCTGAGCGCACCGTTTGCTTTCCTGGCTCGGACTGCAACTCCTGGGAGGCTTTAAGGAAGTTTCTGAAAGGGAAATGGATAATTTAATTGCTGCATTAGAGGATCTGCGGCTGTTTTGAGTGCAAGTTGCTCCAGAGCTTAATCATGTTGCTGCTCAGGGCTTTGTGCTTTCCCCACTGAATCAAGGGCATACACAGCCCTGGCGACCTTCTGAAATACATATTAAATATATTAAAACAAACTCTCTTCAGGTAACTCTGGCTGTTCAAGCTCAACTCATTCTTTTAGGTTTGTACGATTAAAACCAGAGCAGAAACAGGGAAAATTAATACTGTCCCCCTGCCCCAATCCACATCCTGCTCAGAGCTGCATGGAAGATGGACAGTGAATCAGCTCCGGAGGATTTGAAAAGCTGCAAAAATCATGTATTGGGTTTATTAAGCATCTGGATTTGCATCTACGCTGCAAGTTTGCCAAGGAATTGCAAGCAAGTGCCCTTTAGCAACCAGAAAGCAGCAGCACATCAGTGCCGAGCACACCGCAAAGCGCAGCAGGATCTGAATCTTCTTGGGTGCATCTTATTACCATTTGCGTGGGCTGGATGTGTGGTTGCCTGAGTGTTTTGTTTCATTTGTTTCCCTTCACTTTTATTCATGCGGATGAAAATGCTGTCAAGGAATTGCAAAGCAAAGAGTGAGGTTTCTCCTGTCATCGCCTGTACACCATTTAGAAATCCTAAGTGCAGAGATACTGAAAGGGGAAGCTGGAAGTCTCTATCCCAAGACTGAACCAGATCTTCTCCTTAATGACTCCTCCTTTATTCCACCGGTGGAAATCTTTCCAAGATTAATGTGCGTGCAGGGCCAGTGCAGGAGCAACAGCCAAGTATCACCACCTCACTCAAACCCTAGTGCAGTCCTTCCAGCTGTTCAGAGCAGTATTTAATCCAAATTTCTTCCCCCTTTTCTTCCCCGTAAGCATGAAAATAGCAGCAGCACTCGCTGGTGAGCTGTGAGCAGCACCATGCTGGGGACTTCAGCAACTGCAGCAATGCCATGTACAGGAGGGCTCTCACCTTCGCTGCAACAGAGCGGAGCAAAACTGCCTGCAGGGATCGGTAGTCTGGGCAGCTTTTAATTCCTTGAGTATATTGCGACTTTGGCAGATGCTCCAGACATCTTGAAGTACGTATCCTGAAGGATGCATCAATGCTGGGTAAATCCTGCAGGGAGGTGCTCAGAAGTTAAGCAGTAGTTGCAATGTCACTGTTGGTGCTGGTAGAGTCACACTCTCCAGGTTCTTCTGTCTGAGGAAGTTTTCCTAATGCAGCGCTAGAGATACAAACACTTGCAGAAAGCAAGTGTTTGTAAGCTTGCACAAACAAGACTTCTCACAACCTTTGTTTTTTGCTGTGATTCTGTTTAACGTGAGATGGGAACAATTTTTACAGCTCAACTCCAGCACAAAGGCACTTTAAATTAAAGGGTAATCTACCTACATCTGTTCCAGGGGCAGCCTTGAATGACTACACACACAACTTCACGTTAAATTATATTTGTACCTAGTCACTTCAAGCTCAGTACAGGGCCAGAATATTTTATCAGAGACTCCTGTGCAGCTAAGGAATCTTACTGATTTTTTTAGTAAATTATGCCATCACAAGAAATCTATATCTAAGTAAAAGTTTCTAAAAAATCAAACATATTCTATAGCCCTGTTTATCTCATGATCCATGAAAGATTCAAAGATCTAACGCAGCTTTAAGCTTTGGTCTTGATTAACTCCCAACCCACCAGGGAAAAGAAACCGCATAACCTGCTTTAGAAGACCAAATCACAACCAAGCAGCACAGTTTGCAAATGAAGTTTCAAGGAACTTATTAATGAACTAAGGTCAGCCCATGCAGTAAGGCTAAAGGGGGAAGCCCAATTCTCCTTTGGGTATTCAGCTAGCATAAAGCCGCATAGCTGAAGTGTAGCCCGAAGTCCCACGAAGGTGCTGCTGGTGGGACTTGGGACTACATTATGCTTCCAAGGGTTCTTTCAGCCCAGGACATGCTATACACATTGCTTTGCCTCACGAGGCTGCGATTTACCTCGATAACCTTCTGGCTTCGGGTGCTTTGATCATGGATCATGCTGACACACGTGTGCTGCTGTTGCACTACTCCTCACAGTCAGATGGTGCCTGGATCCACTTCAGTTGCAAGGAGGGGCACCTAAATCTGTGCCCGTCCACTTCTCTTTCCCTCGACTTACCTCTGCATAGCTCTGTGCTTTGGGACTTGAACATAGGGCAATTCCTTGCACCCTAAAGCTACTGGAACATATTTATTACTTAGAGATACAGCACTGCTTCGAGATCTGAGAGAATTGGATATTCCCCATCAAAAGACACTTTTTTCCCCATAAAGAAATAAAATTCACAGCTCTGCAGTTTCTTTTGACATCAGCAGTCATAAGGGCTTGTGTTTCTTACCAACCCCGCGTACCCACCTGCTTGCACATCTGGCTACCCTGGCTAGCACATCCCACGTCTCAGCCACCGAGGCTCAAATGGAGCCTCACCTCTACTCCCCAAGTTCTTGTAGCCCCTCTCCACAGCAGATCTTAGGATCTGTCACTGTTTGATGAAGCCCAGGTAAATTTTTGTATCATTACCGTATTAAACCATTCATATAGATGAATACTACAGACTCCCAACATGATTTAAAGACCCAGTCTGGATGTGGACTTACCAACAAGCACTTCAGTGGGATGGTGCAGGGAAGCTGCAATGGGTTAAGCCTCCTATGGGAGATCCCAAGAGATTTGGGCTCTTTTAAAAAAATGGGATTTAGAAAAACAGCAAGAAAGCATACCTACTGTCAGACCAACATGCTCCTTCAGAAAGGACCCCAGCAGAAGCTCACAGTGCTCCAGCCATTCCCTGGCACTTGGCCATGAACATAGTGTTACCACCCAACATCCCAAAGCAGACACAAGACAGTTTCCTCATCTTGAACCAAGCGGTACCAAACATCCCCCACAGCACACAAACCCCAGCGCATGGCTGAAAGGCGACACACAGCAACTCACGTGTGTCAAAGTCCCCCAAAAAAGCCAGTGGGCCTCCAACACAATAGATGTGCAGATGAGAGCAGAGCAACAAAAGCCATTAACTTCCACCAACAGAAACCTATTTTTCTTTCACAAATAACACCCATTAGCAACTCCAAGGAGAACAATCCCCACTCTTCAGTTCTGAAGGAGTACACAGTTTTTCAGCGGACACAATGCAAAGATTTTGCAGAATTCAGGCATTCAACAGGACTAATGTGAAAGATTATTTTGCAATTATCCAAGCAATTTTCTCTCCTCATTGTCCCTGGACCATAAGGGTTTTTAAATGTGAGCAGAAGGATTTATTCATCACAATAATAATAAAACGAAATATTAAATCAATGAATCTCTTTGCATGAAGCATAAAGCTCACATTGCTATTAAGCTTAGTAGCGTCCTGTCACATAAACCACATGCAGTTTGCGTACTTAAGTACCATCACCCTCTTTTATTTTTCCCTTCCCTAATTTGTAAGGCATTATCCTTCCATTTGTCCTCTAAACACAACCGGATTCAGACAACACAGTGTTGCTTCTTGTTAGTGTCTCTATGCCCATGCTCTCTTTATGTGAGCACGTAGAGTTTTATATTTAATATCGATTGTTAACAATGGCCAGTGCAGAAAGTTATACCAGGACGACAGAGAATTCCTAAAATAAATACATACATACCTAAGTAATAATTTAGGGAGAATTAACTCCTCACAAGCAACACTGCCAATATGCAAGTGAGTAGCTGGACATGAAAATGAATGTTGGTCTTTGAAGGTGTTGCTTCTTCAGTTTGGCTGGGAAAAAAAAAAAAATCAACCTAAACCTAAGTAAAACTCAGTTACAACCTTTGGAGCATGGAAGCTCTTATGGTCGTGTTGGCCTTGGCTTGTATTTCCTTCTCTGCCATCCCTTGTAATATAAAGTGATAAATGACTTTGCACAGCTTCAGTGGGTCCCTCTTTTGTTTTTATGAAAGATTTATCTGGTAAAGTGCAGAATCAGTCACTACTTAGGTATTTATGAAGTGCCAACCGTCTTCACAGTGTGACACTTAAAGAGCCTAAGCAAAGATTTTTGATAAGCAAGAATCTCTGGCTTTAAGCCTTGAGATTCATACTAGGCTCCATACAAGCAATGACAGTTTCACGAGTGCTAAACACCTGGCACCTCTAAAGATCCCGTATTTTTACAATTTAGGCTCTCCTACGTAACAGCTTCTGTACTTCACAACCCGAAGGCCACCAAACAAATTCTCTCAAAACAGCAATTTATCTCACCTAAATTCACACATCCACAGAGCACAGCCATCCACCTCTGAACATCGGCTTCCCTTCAAAGCCGATGGAGAGAAACAGGCGTTTCTAGAGCAGGAGCCATGGCATTCTCACGGAAACACTTAAAATGGGTCAGATGAGTCATACCTGTAATCTCCCTGGTTTTCTCTGTGGATAAAGTGTCCAGATCAGGTACAGATATCTACAACCACTCGAGATGAACGCTGTCCTAGATGACTTAAGCTGAGCTGACATGTTACAGAAGAGCTACAGCCAACTTCAATGTACAAACCCCACCAGGAAGCAAGACCATAGTAGCTACAACTTTCTTACCATGATTGGGACGCCAATGTCTGGCCACAAGAGATCCTCAGAGGGAAGCTTGGGAGAGTTCCACACTACCACAACTTTATTTAAGTACGGGAGACCATTGAGCCTTTCTAGGGAGTTCATCAACACTTCCTCCCGCTCGTAAGTCAACATCACTACTGTGAACTGCTCCCGGGGGACGTTGCCGCCCAAAGCAGCCTGGAACTCCTTCCCAGAGCCACCTGCTCCTCCACCAATTGGTCGAAATCCAGTCCCAGACCCCAAAAATTTTGCTTCTGATGGTAAAACAGGGTCAAAGGGAGTGTAGGGGAAGAGGTGGAAAGGCCCTGGAGCAGAATTCCAATTTCTGTAGATGTCCATTGCAGTGAGGGTAAAATTGCGGAGATATTTGGGAGATGCATAGGGTGGTTCCGTTTCCACAGGCCCCAAGTCCAGATCACCGTTGTCTGCCATATTGGGGTCTGTACCAGCAGCTTTGCCAGACCGATGGGGAATCTCCACAGCGGTTTCTTCTCGGATAGGAGCAGCTGGGATTTGGATTCGAGTCCTTATGATAGCTAAGACTGTGCTGAACACGTTGTCAGAGGTGGAGAAGTAGGTCTCCCACAAGAAGCGGCCCTGCCTCCTCATGGCAAGGAGATCGTTGTCAGAAATGCTTCTCAGAAGAAAGTGCACTTCTGTGATACGTGGCTTTGGTATAATTAAGGCTGCCTCGTTCCACCGGATCACATCATTATAGGGTAGCTGAACTTGCTCTCCGAGAACCACCGGGATGGCTCCAACTTCCAGAGCCTCAAACAGTCTCATGGCACACCCAGCGGAGATCACTAAATGGGTGTCCCCTGGGGTGATTATCAGTGCAAAAGTAGATAGCTTCAGTAGCTCTAGTCTGTCATCCCTTTCTCCACACAGAGCCCACTCAGTGGGCAGACTTGCCTTAGGCTGGTTCTTACATGTGAACTCCACCAAAACAAAGTCCAACTTGCTGTCCTGAACAGCCTTCAATGTGGTAATGATCCGATCATCATAGTCAGCTGGGGCATTGCCTTCTATTTCCTCTTCGAAAGAGCGAACCTCTTGCAGGCTAGATCTGAGAGACTCGATCTTCTCCCCCTGGAAACTAAACAGATATTTACGCTTGACTGGCACCTGGGGCGGGATTTCTAGGAAATTTGGTTCCGACATAGCGTGGACCAGAGGCGATACCACAATATCAAACCCCGGTCGATACTGCACATCATAAAAGGTGGACTGGGCAATCATGGCGCGCCCTGTGCTGATGTTGTAAATGAAGTTCTGAGTTTCCGATTTCCTTGATAAATTGATGATGAGATGGTTATGTCCATCAGTCCTCCAATATGGCAAAGAGTGCAACTGCTGCTCTAGTTCAGTAGGTTTTGGCATTACGGGCTCTTGCATTTCCCCCACTAAAATTATATATACACAAGCAATATTTGCATTTTCAGTAACATAAACATTAGTTCTGACAGTTGCCTCAAAGGCTTGTTTAATTAAAGGGTCTAAGGAACTACCAAAAGGGTAATCATCACTGTTGTAGACATAGACTGGAAAGCCAGATGTCAACGGGCAGCGTGAGTAGTCAAAGCAGTTGTGTAGCCTGCAGTTCCGGTTGGATTTTGGCAGGGGGAAGGTTGCATCGTCTTTGTCTGGCAGCAGCCGGATGGGCAAGGAGAGCTTGGGCTGGTTCTGAGCCATCAGCTCTTTGTAGGAATGCTCGGTCTGGCTGATGACGTTCTTCAACTGCAGCAGGTCCTGCTTGGCATTTTCAATGCTCTTTTTGCAGGCCTCAATCTTCAAGTTGAGCTTAGCGATCTCACTGTTGAGCTCCTGCCGCTTGGCCTCCAGCTGGAGTAACTCCTCGCTGACTGACTCGCGGATGCGGCACAGGTCTTGCACATGCTTTACCTCGCACAGCTCATTGCCAGTCCGAGGGCCAAAGATGCGCTTGCCGGCATCATCCGCATCATCGATGGTGGTTAGGTAGTAGTGGGCAATGAGGGGAAAGAAGACGAGGATAATGAAGAGGGTGAAACTAAGCCAGGTGAGCCGGATCCGACTGGACCATCTCAACACCCACGGCTGGCCTCCGTTCCCCACTCCCCCATTCCGCAACATCGTATATCCAGTCATGAGTTCAAAAGTCGCTGCGCGCCCAATCACGTTGGATCAGTAGCCATAACCAAAAGAGTTTTTATAGCGAGTCTCTCGAAAAAAAATGTTATTGTGCCTGCTTAACGAGAAGCCAATAGAAGGGGAATTTCATCTTCTTGTTGTGCTGACGGCTTTTCTACAGTCGTTTTGCTGCAGGCACAACTTTTGATCCCGTTAGACTCAATCATTGACCTTCTCACCCACCCCCAGCCCACCCTTGGTCTGCAGGCAACCTTTGCTGGAAGTGTCACAGCGTTGTCATGGTGATTCAAAGTCTCAACCGGCAGAAGAAAAACACAGTGGGATCAAGCCAAACTCTACCGCTGCTCTCGACATCCTGCATTACCATCCAATGAATATGTAGAGGCACCATCCATTGTGGAGAAGGAGCCAGGAGAGACTCGTACGAACGTCAGTCTTTCTCATCGCTGCTGCACAGCTGATGCTCTGCCATTCCTACAAGAGAACAATCATATATTCAGACAATGCAAACAAAACGACCCCTTAGTGACCTAAGACATTGCTAGTTTTTAAAAGCAACTGTCCTCTCTGCAAAAGAGCAACCTTCGTACATGTCTTAACACCTCCGGGGTTAATACCAGTAAAACTGAGAAAGTGATGGGATTCATTAGATGCGGACACATGGCTTTCTCCGGCCACTCTGCTTCTCATTAGAGTTGCATGCTTCAGTGGCCAGACCAGAAAAATCACAGCCCTTGGATCTGGTTTCCTATTTCTGCCACCGTCTTGCTGTGTAACTTTGCAGAAGCTGCTTAACATCTGCAAGCCCCTGTCTCCTCATGTACAAAATGGAGATATTAATGTACACCTGCTCTCTCTACCCACCTTTTGCTGGCGTGTTGTGAATTTGTACTGCATAACTGAGTGTGATCACTATTGTTCTGGTCTAGTGACTAGAGCTGATGAGGAATTTTTAGATGAAGTGTTCTGCTTTCATTTCCTGCTGGAAAATTTTGATTCACTGCAAGAGAAAGTTTAAAGGGAACATACACCTGTTGGCTCTGATTACCTCCACTGGCTGGCATACGAGAGAGAATTTCTGGTCAAAACTGGAAAAGTCCACACTGTGTATCAAAGCAAAGATGCCGAAGTTAGGATCCGTTGGGTCCCACACCACCGAAACGGTATCAGCTTGCTTAGATAAGCCTTTTTGCTTGGAGAACTTTGATATGGCACTGAATGCCTACCTAGCATGAGCATAAAAATCAAGGACACAGCAAATTCAGCTCTGAGTCTTTGGTCTATGCCAACAGATTTAAATCTGGGCCACATGAATATACTGCCACTAGAAACTCTCCCTTCCCTTCTATTAGCATCCTCTGAGGTACCTAAGTTTCTGGGATATTCTTTCATATACTGGACTTCCCACATCACTGATGAATACAGTGCTGCGCTTAGCGTCAACTCTTGCACAGCCTCAAGAGAAGCTTATTCATTTCTGCTTCAATTTTTAATTAGAGGAAAGTCACACTGGTGACGGTCATTTTTCACTAAATCTATTTAATACTCCTCTCATCTACTCATCAAGAATTAGCAGAAAGAAGGTGAGGAAGCAAATCTCAGCTGAAACAGAGATCTGGAAATGGGCCAAAGCAAAACAGAAGTTCACCTTAAAGGAGCAGAGCGAAGTCAGGAATACTTTTCAGTGTAGCACACAAGCGCGTGTCAGAAAAAAAAATAAATGGAAGATTTGATTTTAACCAGGAAAAATCATAATGAAAGGGGAAACAAGTGGAGTGATACAGGACAATTCCTAGGCCTATTTCGTTACAAGGCCATTTGTTGTCGGTAGCTTAAGGCCCCACAATTAAATGGGAATCCCCCCCAGCCTGACCTGCAACTGAGTTGCACAGCAGTACAGACACTTAAAATTAAGGCAGATTTTAAATTCGTAACGTTGTCTGGCAAACAGCACTGGTGTAAATCTCAGAAAGCCGGGAGGATAAAAGGGCTAAAAAGTCAGCAAAAGACTAAATCAGCTTTCTTGGATCTTGGCAGTACAGTCGCTGCAGGCAGATGGGGGAGGCTTCAGCTCTGCTGGCAGGACATTTTAATACTATTCTCTGTACACCAACTTGCATTTGCCTGGGCTGGGAGAGAGCCTGGTGATGAATGTAAATCCCCAGCGCTTCTGCACGGCACTGTCAGTCAGGCACAGGGAGCCCTGGCAATAGCAGCACACTTGTATCGTGCCTCTGGGACTACTGCTACACACAGAAGTGTTTTAACATGCACCAGTGTACAAACCAGGCAACTGAAGGCAAAAATAGTAATAAAAAAGCTTTCAAAGTCTATTTTTCAACTGTTTTTCCTCCTTTTTTAAGCTCTCCCCAAGAAATAAAGCTCATGCTGTCACTGCCCATGTGCATGCACCAGTCAGTCAGTCCCTGCTGTTTGAACCTGGTCTCATAGGGGCTGCAAAGATCTTAGAATTGCTACTAGTTTTCTGCAAACAGCTGGCCAGGAGATGAGAGCTGCCTTATTAATCCTTTTCCCGAGGGAAAAGCCAAAGCACACGCTCACTTGAACACCAGCAAATCTAAAAACCAGCTTAACTTCAAGGCACACATGGGAAAACAAGCTCTGCTGGGTTTTTTGGTTTGGGGATGCCATGGGATAAGTGCGGTCAAACCCTGCAAGGTGTTGAGACAACACAGAAACAAGGGATCATAAATGTGGCCAAGAAAGAATGAGGAGGCATGTGGACATGTTGCTTCAGACTGGCCAGAGAAAACTGCAGCCCCACAGGCAGTAAAGGCAGTCCCAAAACTTATCAGCTGAAACTGCATCTGAATCTTGTTCCTTTGTAGTTGCTTTGCCCATTTATGAACCCTAAACAGTAATGAAATGGCAAACTGGACTCCCTAAAACGGCAACTGGGGTCCTTGAAAAGCTAAATCCATTGCCCCACACATGATCCTCTGCAGCTGTTCTGCCACCTAATCCTTCCAGGGGCTCCTCTGGTCCTTCCACTCAGTTGACACAGAACAAACTTTATCCTCCTGACTTAAAAACATGGGCTGTGAATTAAAAAAATCCGTACGCTCAGAAACCTGAAGCTGACAAAATGACTCTGCTGCTAGTTTGGAAAAGACCACACGGGAAAGACCAGAGCAGGCTGTGGAGGAATTTAAAATGCAACACACGTGGCTTGGGATCAGTTAAAAGTATTGACTGTCAGTATGAAATATGTGCTTGCGATAAAGCAAGCACTTTAGCCACACTCTCAGACTCTTCTTCATTACTAAGACTTTATTTCTCATCAACTCAATAGAGTCTGAGGTTGTAACACATTGTTATTAGGACTTAAAAAAAAAAAAGCGAAGTAAAAACCCAATCTGTGGTTTTACCAAGAAAGACTTCAGTGTTGTATTTAAGAGCAATAAGCAGCCCTGGGGGAAAAGGCTGCTGATTTCCATAGCTCCCAAAAAGAAGTTTGGGAGGAGGAGAAACAGGTTAGTTGCTGTGCTCTCCAGCCAACTCATTCCTCTCACTTCCTATTACTATTAAGTTCTTTAAACTGATCAAGCCCCACACTGAGAAACTCCTGTTGACATTATAACACAATGTTGCTGCCTGATAGACATAATTACACACACACACAAAAAGAGGCAAGAATAGCTCTCAGGAAATCAGAAGCTCGCTAATTACCAGAGCCTCTTCCCAAATGCGAATCCGACTGACTTCTCGAGCATGACAGGTTTGCATGCTGCAGTTCGTTCTCCCACGGCACAGGGCTGCGAGACTAAACTGCTGTTTGAGCACGTTGTCACATCTTAGTTCAAATCTCAGGCTGTGTTCCCAGCTTTCCTCAACTCCACAGTAGGCACTCCCCATGGCAGTGAAGTTATGGGAATACCTGAGGTTCTCCCTCATTTTGCATTTCCAGCAGAAAGAGCCAGGCTGGTCTGATCTGTGGATGCTCATGGAGTCATTACTCTGCAAATGTTAGTCACCAAGGTCCTTTTGCAAACACCTGAGCGCACCTATTCCTCGCTGCTTACGCTTCCTTTTGTCGATCTCCCCTATAAAATTAGGGAAATATTGTTCCTTTCTCAGCATATTTGTGAACAGAGCCTTGAAATTTTAAACTTACGGTGCACCAGAGCTTAGCACAGCAATAAATAATCATTAGGCACAATATGGTAACACAGAGCGCACTGAACTTTCTAGGAGGAAAATCCACAGGGATCCTGCATCCACTAAATTACAGCTCCCAAACTGTCTGTATGCACCCATACTTGTCCTTACACTCTTTCCTCATCAACTGAGGGGTCTGCAGCGTTATCACTTCTATGACCTCCACAAACTTGCTGCTGTGCTGGCCCTCTCTGTGGAGAACAAAGCACCGTACCCACCTCCGTCACACTGGTTCCATCCTGATGAATGGCAAAGGATGTCAAGGAGTGAGTGATAGCAGCTCCTGTGTTTTATCTGTCCAGTCTTGAATAGACAATTTCTATTGCCAAGTCTCTTTTTCACTAGCACTAAAAATGAAATCAAAGATAAAAAAAAACCCCACAACACTTTTTTTTTTAAAAGGAGAAGCAGAAAAATTCTGCTAAACAAAGAAAATACAGCATATTCCCTCCCTTTAGAACAGGGTTTCTGGTGAAATGGAAAAGAAACGAACACAAAACAGCCCTTCAGCAATGATAACTTTCTACTTCCTAATGCTCTCAAAGGAAAGGATTACACCCCAAATCTCCGATCACTTTGGGAACAGCAGCAGTTGAACAAGGAGAATAAATCTATTAGGTGTGTGCTTTAAGGTACGTTTGAGAGCAGATGGAAAATTCACTCTGAAATGCTTCACATGCTACAGCCTCAGGGATCATCACGAGGGATTTGTACCATCTTGAGAGCTCACAGGTACAGAGAAATTCTCCTAGACTAAGATCAATGCTGCTACACGCACAACCGGTAAAAGGTCTTGTAATCTGTAAATTCAGGGCATAAACTGCATCCCTGGCTTTAGGAAGCTTTTATCTCAACCAAGGAACATTCACCACATTTGCAGCTCCATGCAAAGTCAAACCTGCTTCTAGCCATGCTCCCCATCTGCAGCTGGGCATGCGTCAGGTAAAGCGGTCCTGCAGAAACACCCCAAGAAAGCTCCTTCATATGCTCGCTCCAGCAAAGTCAGAAAACCACACATACTGAAGAAGGCAGTGGCTGACTGATATTAGGGGAAGTATCATGTACGTTCACCCTGTTCTTCTACTCTTTCCCTGTGCTGCTTGTGTGCTCTGTTGGAAACAGGTTGCAGACAATATGGACACTAGCTTTGCACCATGCTTGCTACCTTCTCTCCAGCCAGGCGTCCTCCTGCCCTGATAGGACCAGTGCTCCCGGTACAGCATCATTTCATCTTACAGTGTTCACAAATGCATCTCCTGCAAGTCAGAAATCCTTGGGGGGCGGAGAGAGAAGGA